GACCTCAGATATTGATATTATACCATACAATTGGTTACAATAGATTGGTAATTCCTGTTTCACCCTTTACTTAAGTTTTTTAAAGGAACACCATATTTCTATAAGAAAACTAACTTCAAGGGGTAATGGTGACATTGTTTACACTAGAATTATGATTTTTCTTTAGCTTATACTAAGCACTACTGTGCTAAGTAATAACCTGTTCCCAAGTGCTCTTAAAATGATTTTCTGTCATACAAAGCCATTGCAAAAACTTCACACATTTTTTGGCTAGCATGGGAAAAGAAAAATGAACACTTTAGCTACTTCCAAGATCTCCATTTTAGAAACACTTTTCATATTGAAGTCTCACAAGCTGTGAAACACTTGATAATGGCAATTAGGTGCTCAAGTAAGGCTATAACTCAACTTTAGCAGATATATTTAAGCACCATAGAGTAATAGATTGAATGCAACTGCCATTTTTTTTTCAGCCCATCCTATTGTGCTTAGTGATAACCAGATGTTCAATTTTATAAAAATGAACTGAAGGAGGTAATTGTAATTATTTTAAGCAGTGTTTTGCCTTATCATTGCTAAAATATTATTGAATTCCAGTTTCCTTTTATCTTTTTATTCAGTTTTTATAAATATCACTTCTAACTGCATGTAAATCATGCATCAGCGATGAAAAGTTCTTAGAGTGCCTAAATCCTGGTTCAGAAGATTTGTTATTGTTTATCACAAAGCTACACAAAGGGCTATCTGCACCCTACTCAGAAGAGGTATGTTAGCCTTGAGTGATACACTATAAAAGAGGTTCTGGATCCTGTATTAACTTTGGAACTACTTTCCCATTGTCATTCATGCCAAATCTGATGGCCATGAACATGCATTATTATTGCCCAACACAGCAATTTTTATTGTCACCAACTTCTACAAGGGATGGTAATGTCCATCTTATATCTTGACAAACTTGCCACAACCCACCTCCCCACTGTAAACAAGTGTCAGCTTTAAAGACCACCTGTAAATAGATCAAAGGGGCAAAAGACTACTGGAACCACATTGTGATATTTAACAGGTATTACTGGTTGAATAAGATTGCTGTGTTTTGTTTATTGAATTTTGCACAAAGCTACTCAAGCACTATATGAACTAGCCATCCCAAATTTTGAAGTGATAGACTAAGAGGAAAATAAGTCAATACCACCTACCAGTAACTTTTGGGCTACGTTTTACCAATGAGTAGTGAGAATGACTGATATATTATAGCACCCACACACCTGAATGGGTGAGAATATTTGACGAGAGGATTCAATCCCACAACTCATAGGTTGCAGACCTAAGATTGTTGTGAATCCAGCTTCTTTGGCCATCTTTCCTATGAAAAAATCCATTGATTGTCACTTATTGACTCACCTTTCAAAACCAATAAAAAAAAGTTAATTTTTGTACTTTACTTGATAATAGAAAAATATGTCTATACTTTCACTGTTTTCACCTAAAAATAATATGAGATTGTACCAAGATGATATTCCTAAATCAAGATATTCACTTCAATATATTTATGTGTATAAAAGTCATATAAATATCAAATTGTGGAAAAAAAATCAACACACAGAAAAACATTTTCATATATCAATCAATACCTTTTATTTTTATGAGTACATGCCTACATAATAAGAAAAACTTATAAAACATATTTTAGCCACAAGTAAGTTTTAGAGCTCAATATTTATTACAGAACCAAAGAAAATATTAACCGTTTATAGTTAGAAGGCACTGGAAATATCACCTTATGATGTTGTTGCAAAAAAAAGTCAAAAGCAACATATATTTTAACAAAAAAATGATGATAGAATAACATTTACAAATGTAATTCCATTCTGTTAACCAAAAGAATGAAAATGCATTTTTGAAGCATAAATGTCAGAGTATGCAACTGAGATAACTACACAAACTAGGATATATACAGAATTAAATGAAAGGTAATGTGATCAGCATTTTACCAACAACATTAAGCTCATAATATATGTAAACAATTTCAGAAAAAGAAAAACTTGTAAAATATATATATGTGCTTATTCATATAAACATCATGTATGAATGTTAAGTTTTTTTTAGCTAATAATTAACATGCAAAAAAATCTTACATTAACAATAAAAAAATGGCTAAATAATCTTCGGTATAACCATGGAGAAAATATTTCCAACAACAGATTCATATTTTCTACATCTGATTTGTATATCAGCATTTCATATGACAATATGGAAACTGTTGTCACAATACAGGGCATTAAGGCAACAGACAGTGACACAAAATTCTGTTTAATGCTAAGAGCAGAAGACTACTGATATACCTGAACAATTATGAACTTTTTCTATCTTCTCCCACCTTACCTACGTAAGAGTCAACAGTCCCAACAAGATACATGAAACTACATAAAAGCATCACAAGACATTTCCCTTAATGCTTTAAATGAAGAATATTTTCTTCAGCCTAGCACTCAGTTTTTAGCTTTATTAACCAGTAGGAATTTGGTAAAATATGGACATTCAGGTTTTTGAAAAACACAATGAGAAACAGAGAACTTAAATTTTACTAAATGGTGTAGCATATGGTTTATCAAATGCAAAATTATCCCAAAAAACTTTACATTGCACTGTTATCTACCATGCTTTTAAACTTCTAAAATTTTACCAAAATGCAAAACCATTTAGTGACAATAAATTTTATATTGGATTGTTAGTTATTTATCATTGCACTGTTTTAATTTCAACCTATAGCTCAAATTGTATCAAAGGCCTCTTTTGTTATTTGATGTTGAGAATTTTGAAAATTTAACTGGAATCAAGAAGCAAGCTATAACTTATAAGACAAATTAAGAAGTTCAATGCAGATTTGAGATTTTTAATCACTAAGGTTTCTTTTATGCAGACATTCTATTCATCGTTGGAGCTTCATAGTATAATAAAGTTATTTCATCAATTACATAATCACAATGTTGGTTTAGATATTTGTAAATGTTTGAAAAATGACCAACACTAGGCTTGAGATGTTATTTTATACATTGTTTCAACAGGGTGCATTATTGAACCCACATAATTTTGTCCACAATGAGAACATACAAGTTGTGGGTTAAAACTCAGTTGTAAGACCTGGATATCTCTTTTTGGTTTGTGATACCACAATTTGTAGATGTATGACTTTGTAATTACAATTTTCATTGTTATTTATTTAATAAAAAGGCTTATGAGTTGTGACTACATTTCCTTTTTAAGTTGGTAAAACTGGTGGTTTACAGACCCCCTCTCCCAACTATAAAGTAGTCTTGTTGCCACCAAATTTCATAATCTTAGCTTTACTGTATGTTTCAGAAGTTCGCTTTGATACCTACAAATACTATACTTCAAAGGTGAATAAGAACAATATTATACTGAAAAATAATAAACATTCAACAAGACTTTCCTAAGTAAGAAACAAACAAGCAAAAACTTGTCATTTTGTAAACAGATCAGCTACTTTATTTTAAATTTTTCCTCCATGAGCTATATTCACACTGTTGAAAATGGTGGCAATTTATTCCACATAAAATTTGAAGTTTATATATTAATGTTATAAATGCATAATGGATCCAGTAAATATAAACTGTTGTTGAGATTCAGTTACTTGGACTAAATATCACAAATTATTTAATTTTTGCTAAAATTGAGTTTACCCAATAATACAAATGTAGGGAAAAATTTATTCAAAACACTTTAAGTACAGTTCTTAAAAATGTGAACTACAAACATCTTAACAGATAAAAATGTAAAGCATGCAAGTTGAGATGCTGAAGTTTAAAATAGTTCCCCATCTTTATAAATCCATAAACTTAATGAATTACAGTTTTAAACATTTTAACTCCTACTTGCGTATAATAACAAAAACAATAAAAGCAAGACAGTTATAACACATTTTATTAAACATTACCAAGTATCTAAAATTAGTTGGTTTAACTTGGAATTTCAGGTATAGTATGTGCTATTTATGACAAAAAACATTAAAGTTCAACTATTTTGGTACTTACAGATGTAGCCATAAGAAATCATAAAACATAATTGATGTAAATTAACAGTAACTGTGTATAAACATCATTTAAATTTCACAGATTAAAATTCCTTTGAAATTTTATTTTAAAGAAAAGCAGAAATTATTTACAATTTCATCAAAAGTGCATTGGATAAACCTAAATTCATATATTTTCCACGTAACTTATAACTAATAAAATAAAAATTTTACATTATATTTACTTAAAACTACCATAAAACAGTTATTTGTATCTCAGAAATTCCTAATAAAATCAAATTTCTTCTCTTAAATGTTTTTTTTTGTGGACAAACACAAAGCTATATAATGGGCTATCTGTGACATGCCCATTGCAGGTAACAAAACCAGATTTTTAGCATGATAAGCCTTCAGTCTTAGTGCTGTGTCACTGGGGAGCCTCTCGAATGATTCACAAAAAGTTTAACTCTTAGTGTACCACCAGATGAAACTAGATATATAAATTTATTAGTTATAGAACTAATTACTGTACTTGTAACTGTAGAACAAACATATTTGAAGTATTGTTCAGATTATATATGTGGAATTACATGAGCATGAAATTTCATTTGTTCTCTTCTAAAGCAGTACAAGCAAATTTAAAAAAAAAGTTTATTTTGTACCCCTTGTCTGATTCAAGAAAATTATATTTTACTTGTTAATTCACATTAGAATATTAGATAAAAATTATTTTTCTTTCATAGTCACGTACAATGTATATATGAGAAAGCTCATTCACTATTCAGTATTTGGTAAAATAAAAATATAAAAGTCTTTTTAGCACCTTTTAACTAGTTCCTTAAAATTTCTTTGTTGATAAATATAGCATATGAAATAAGAATTTGAATATATTATTACTTACTTTAATCTGCCATCAGATGATACTAACATTCTTTAAAGTAGAAGTTCTTTTGCCAGTTTTTTTTTTTTTGGGGGGGGGGGCAGATTCTATATCTGCCATTTCCCTTTCTAGTGCTCAATTTTCCCACCTGCACACCTTTCTTACTATCCTTGTATGGTACCTCTCCACCCTTCACCTGATGACTTTTCCGGGGAATCTTGATCACTCCTTTTTTCTACAATGGCCCATTCTACCTCTTCTGTCCTTTCTCTTCTCACCTGGTTCCTCTGTTACTGAGAACTTTTGAGAAGTGATACCCTCCTATCTCAAGTCAGTCTCCCTTCCACCATTTCCCTGGGACCTTCATTCTGCCCCTTTTCTTAGTCCAGAAAGTTTTAATGGGGTCCCCAAATCCTTGGACCCACAAACTGAAGCTTCCCGCTACCATTTTTTCCTAACTTCTTCCAATACAAATATGACTTCTTTGCCTCTTCCATTCGCCTATACAGGCATGAGATGAAATGAAGTCTACCACAGGTGTGCCCCCTACAGAGCTCCTGCCATCAAATATCACACCCCATGGTCTTTCTTCATATGCTTTCTGAAAAGGACTCATCTAGGTAATCTATGCAATGGTTCCTCTGCCATTTTGATATGGAATTCTAGCTTATATGTGTGAGGAGGTGAGTATTAATTTCAGAAGTCAAAATTCTCCTTAACATAAAATGTATTTCCAACAGATACCTCTTCACACAGTTCCTCCCATCCTCCCCACTTTATGGTACACATTTCTTCATTACCTTGTCAGAGAATGAGGATTCATGAGTAGGAAATGTATGGGGAGTCACTGTGCCTGGAGGTGTGTTGCACTCCTACTAGTGGAAGGTTCTGCTGCATGATGACATTATCATGCATTGGCACATATCCACATGAAATTAGGTGGAAGCTTTCACAAGGCAAATCTTTTTGGCAGAGCGTGTGAACACACGAGGATAAAAGCTAATCTGTGTGTGAGGTGAGTACCATCGGAAATACATTTTCAGGTCAGGAAAATGTTAACTTTCACAACCAATGGAATTATATTGTCATTTAAACAGTTACAAACTTGAGAAAACTAATAAATAGCATAGTTAGAACATCCAACTCATAAAAGAAAAAATACATTGTGCATCTATGAATTTTGTTACCTTTATCCAATATATTCACAAAATAAACATTTTGGTTTAAATTATAAATTCTCTGTTTTAGGTTTAATTTGCTTTAGTAATACATCAAATTATGTGAAGTAACAGCAATGAGGCTTTTGAAGACATACTATTTACTGCAAGCCAGCTGCTCTCTTTACTCCTGAAGGATCTATTCTTCAAAAACTTAAACCTTTTGGCTAATTGTCATTTTGTTTCTAAGCAAAATTATTTTGCTTGTCTTTAATTCCAGTTTTATTAAAGTTATCTAAAAAAACATAAATTGTCCAATCTACCAACTTCAAATTTTGAAATAAACATATATAGTCCCACAGACTATTCTGCTTCAATCTGTTTAACCTTGTGTTCACCAACCTTAAAATCTTATTAATTGTTTGTATAAAACAAAGTCATGGGTAAATATGTGTTTACATAATGTAAATGTATAAATGCAAGCATAGTTACTCATTCATTTATGGTTTCCTATCAAATTTGCAGAAACAGGGTGTGATTGAAGTTCAAATAGTAAATGTCTGTAACATCAGGATGTCTATAAATGATACAGTACACTTGCAATAACAGGATATGACTGTAATTCAAACAGTAAGTTACTATTATGCAGTACATGGACAAAACTGAACTCAGATAATAAGTTGTAATTCTGTAACAGAATAAAATTGTAGGTTACTATTCTACAATGACATGACTCCAACTCAAGAGCTAATTCAATATTCTACAATAACAGGACAGGGGAATAGCTAGGCATATACACATACAACCATGCTTAACATTGAAAACAGATATAAATGTTGTTTAATATAAAACCTTAAGTTGACTGTTTTCTCCCAACATAATTTAGAAAAAACTGTCAGCAATAAAAATGTAAATTTTTACAATACTTTATGTCACCTATGTAGTTAATTTTTAATGGATTATACTTGCAAAAAATGTCATCAGAATTAACCATTTCAGGTTTAAGTTTCAAACTTCCCCTAAGCATAACTTAAACTTACACCTAGCTATGCTCCTGCAGGATGTGACTATACCCAAATATTAAGTTAGTGTTCTGCAACAACAGATGAGAGTTTAAGATAAGTGATAAATCAGTGTTCTAAAAGTACCCTTATTGTTGTTTTTGTGAATCTTTCATACTTTGAACCACCTTCTTGATATAAATAAGCTAAATAACTTGAGATTTGTTTTTATATTGATATATATGTATATTTTCATACAGAACTAAAAGTTTTTAACAATAATTTGTCAAAATCGTAAATATATCATCTGAAACCTGAAATTATTTTCTTTCTCTTGATCTATTTACCATAGAACTTTCTTCCTTCCTAGTTATACCGGAATTTAAAATTTATTACTGTACTTCAAGTTGCCTGAACTGTATTCGAAGGTGAATGGGACTTTTTGTTGTTATTTAGTTACAGTATTCTGTTAGTTGTACACCATAGAAAGATAATAAGTTACCTTAATGGGTTTTCTCTGCATGTTTATATGTTTTACTAAAGTAACTGTCTTGTCAGTTAATTGTTTTAAAACATAACTTTAGTTTTGTAGCTCAAGCCTGAGGTGAGACATCGACAAGCAATGCTGGGATCATATCACTCAAAACGTAATTGTCGTTACATTTTTTTTTAACAGGTTTGATATATTATTATAAGTAGACTATACATAATTTTTTTTGTACAAAATAAAGTGTGATAAATACTATTTATATTAATTTTAATACATCAGACGATTTTTTATTGCACCATTTCTTTCAACAAAATGGCCTAGCAAACGGGTCAGTAGGCCTACTTACAATATTAATATCAAAACTATCAGTTTAGCCATTATGCAATACATGCATAATAGCACAGTATACAGATACGTTACTCAGTGACTTTGTATTATAAATCATAAGTTGACCAAAAAAATCAAACTTATATTGTAAAAAGGTTTCATGTACTTGAAATGTCTGTATTTCAGATTATGTGACATTTAAGAGTTATTACTATTTACTAATAAAAATATAAACCTGGTGAAATACCATACACCAGCAAGAAGGAAAGGGTTAAAAACATCATACAGATATCCTGTGAATGAATTTCTTTTATTTCTCTGTTAAGGGTCCAAGACTGTTTTTAATGGTCTTCATATCCTGGCAATGGATATTGTGAAGCAAATTTCTCCACATCATTTTTTAATGCAACAATATGCGACTTTATACCTTCATCAGAAGCAATAAACTCTTTGAAATCTTTAACAGTTTTACCTGGAATAAAAACAAACTAGTTCAATTTCTTGTTCATAACTAACTTTATAACTTAAAGTTTCATTTTTTACAGAAAAATATTTATTGCAATCCCTAGGAAAATAATTTAAATGAATACAAATTGTTTACCTCAACAAATATTGTCTGGATATTGAAGTACTTTTACATCATTTTTACATGAATAAGATAGTTCCTCTTTAGAAACAGATAAAACTTGTTGTTTTCCAGTGATTTAAAAAAAAAGAAAATGTTATGAAAACTGATAATCTAATTTTTTTTACTGTTCACTTATGTGTGAAATACTGAGGGTAATAAAAATTAATCCCGAATTCTTGTTACACATACATAAGAAAGACATACCTGATTTTCCTTTGGCTTCTAAAGCTATTTGAACTGCACGATCTATGAACTCAACAACTTTTTCAAACTCCTTTTCTTTGAACTGTCTAGATGTGAGAGCAGGTGCTCCTGAATACACAGAAGTGAGAAATCAGTGTTTTTATATATATATTACACCTTATTATAGAGAAATAATTTCTTATCACTACTTCCTTACACCTACCTGTGACAAGCTTTCAAAGTTTGACACCTTATGTACTTTACACCTTATTATAGGTACACATGCTTTAGATTTAACAGACAAACATATTTTTAAGTATCTTTTCTTTAATGTACATGTACTATAGATTCTGTTGTTGTTTTTTAATATAAATTCTCAAAGTTAGCTTACATATTTCTTGACGAGATCAGAACTAAAAATTACAATTAAAAGTTAACTTTTTTCCCTTTTCTATTTATTGTAACACTTTTTATCACTATAACTAACTTCACTTGCTACTAAACTGGTAAGAAGAATGTACAACAGTGTGCATGGCAAAGTACTTAAAAATAAATTACCTTTTCAACAACAGAATTATTATTTTGGTTTTCTTATACAAATAAGCAATGCAAGCACAGAAGGTAATTTCCTACTTGGAAATTCTCATTTAGTTTGTAGGTAAACCATGCTTCCCACATCTCTTTCTAGATATACAATTTTTTTTCACACTTTTATGAATATTATTTCTCATTTTTGGTTGAAGAAAACATTTTTGTATTCACAAAAGCTACATCTGACTTTCAAATATTACTATAATTATTCTTACAAGAAGCAAAATTCAGTAAAACTGATGAAAATAATTACTTTAAACCTATTACTAGAAGTATAATCTGCAAGATTTTTTTTTCCCTTTATAAATTTAATCCCAACTAATGTTATGTGGTCGGCCATTATCGTAAGTCGAGAATTTGTACACTCAGGTGGCTGATCCCAGTCAGCAATTATATAGGATGAGCATGCTCAGTGATGACAACTTGAATTCACAACCCTCAGGTTGTGAGTTGAGTACCCTAACCATCAAACTATGTAAAATGCATAAGCTGGCAGACTTTGAAAGCTTGTTACAAGTAGGTGTAAAAAGGTAGTGATAAACAGTATTTTCCTATAATAAGGAATAAAATATATTATCAGGCAGGCTTTATAAGCTAGGTATATAAAACGTAATGACACAGATATTGTTTTTTTCTAACATTCCATTAAGTTTATTTGTTATGGACTTTCATTTTATATATCTGTAAAATGAAATTACAAAAATAATCTACATTACAATGTGATATTTTATGCTGTTGACTAAGTTTAACATTTTTTCTGCTTGATGCTGTTAAATCAATAAACTGCCCCAATACTTCAGTTTCTTCAAATGTTATTTCCAGTAGTTGTATCTTAATTATGATATATCTGTATACACCTAACTACAGTTTTTTTTGGACATTTATTTAAAATTCTATCTGCACAATTATCAATAACATCTAATCAAAACAAGCTACCTACATAGACCAGAATTGACATTTACCTTATTAAATAATGTAGCTTATTTAATACACCATTCTAACTATATGTAGCAAGCATGTGAGTGAGCCACGGATAAATCTGAGAAAACTAACCTGAAGTTTGTGGGTTGCCAAACATATCCCTACACACCTTGAGCTTATCAATATATTAAGCTAACAATACTAGATAATCCTCACAAGTGTAAAGAATAAATAATAAATATAATAAATATGATGTGTGTGTGGAACATATTGCTGTTTTTAAAAAAATGAGAAACTGGTTGGCAAAAAAAAGATGCTAAGAACAAAATTCAATTACCGAGAATAAATTGTATTGATACAATCATTATATTGTACTGAATATTACAGTTTTCAGATTGTATCAATAACTTTTTACAAGTGAAGTCAGCTAAATTTTAAATCATGGCATTACAATAATAAATACTTTAGAGTTTTATTCCAATGAACATATAAAATAATAAGATTTAGTTCATTAATTAAATAATTTTTAACAATACTCAAGCAATTCAAAAATATTAATAAGGCAGTTTTATTTTTCATCTGTCCTGCTTAGTTCAAGTCAAAATACACAGTATAATGAATTTAAAGCTAATATAAATAATTCAAAACTCCATTAATGTAAACAAATATAAATTAATAAATAACAATCTCTAGGAAACCATTTTTCAATTTTAAAAACATAAAAACTATTATTGCAAAAGTCATTTATGATTTGGATTTTTAATATCTAAAATAATTCAATTTGCATACCCAATCTTAGCCCACCAGGCACAAGAGCTGATTTATCACCAGGACAAGTGTTTTTATTAGCCGTGATATTTGATACATTCATGACACTCTCAACCCGAGCTCCATCTAAGCCCTTTGGCCGCAGATCAACCAGTAACAGATGATTATCAGTGCCACCTATTAAAACAAAAAACAAGTTCTTGCCTGAAGAATTTTTATATTTTATTGACTTTACAGTCATGTTCTTAAAAAGTTTTGAATTATTCATACATTTAGATAAGCTTTGATTACAACCCATTTAAATGAGATGACACATCTATAGAATATAGATCTTTGATGAAATGAAAACTAAATTACTTATTCTCATTATAATTTTACATGTGGGAGTTTTTCGTTTTTTTACTGTACAACTTGTGAAACCTGTTCAACATGCAGAAATAAATGCTATAATTTTAAAATGCCTTGGGAGAAAGAATCACAAGTAAATATAAATAAACTGTAGTTAGTGGAAAAGAACAGACTATGACACATACCTTTCAAAACTGTTTAAAGTATATCTAGAAAAGACTCCTTTCTTAAAATCTGAATCAAGGTAACCCTGCAAGTTGTTAACACGTGAAGACAAGTATCTCAAGTTTTAAAAAGTTTGACATGTAGTAATTTTCTGAATTCTATAACACACTGATTTTTGACATTTAAAGTAAAGCATAAATAAGGAATAAAACAAAGTTTTCACCTGAAACTAAAGTATAGCCACGGTCAATTAGAGCCTTGGCCATAGCTTTAGCATTCTTCAGAACTTGTTTCTGGTACTCTTGAAAGGCTGGAGTTGTAGCCTGTTGGTGGTATATTTATAAACTTTGAAAACAACAATATTGCAGGTAAAACAAGTATATATATATATAGACACACACACTAACAAAACAGTATAGACACCATTTCTAGCTTATTTGTTTTTTCATTATTTAGTACCCTACCCAAAATCAGCTCAAATATAGATTTCTTCTATCTATGTGGCCTGAAAGTAACTTTTCAGTTTCATAAACAGTTTTCTTATTGAACATGAGCATGTCTTCTGCTATAAATTACTTATACCAGATAAAGCAAAGAGTTTTAGAAGAAAAGGAAGTTTCTCATGTGCCATTACCTGCCTAAAACACGTGATCTGGCATATATAAACTATGTCTATCATTTTAAGTCACTTCTAAATCATCAATAACACTTCAATGCTAACTCTCTCAAATGTTTGGAAGTATAAACCTTACAAGAAACTTGTAAATGTAGACATTTATAGCTCATTAATTTCAATGTACAGTCTGAAGTTAGTAAAAAATTGCAAGTCAAAGTAATTTGAATACAACTTGATATTAAGTTATTCTGATTTCATCAATTAATAGGCTGTAAAATAGAAAGAGTAATACAATATAAAAATTGATGTAAACTTGAAAAAATATATTTAAAAATGTAAATCTTGCAATTATCAGAAGTTTGTATTAGTTTTTCCTTACTACAAAATATTAAACGTACATTTAAAAAACATTTGTAATAATTACATTTAACACACACTTCTGTTGTAAAGTGAATTCTGTTTAGCATATTTAAAATTTTTAAAGGTGAATAACTTCAAACTATCACACACATTTTCTACTTTTTATATTTTTGATTATAATATATTTCATAAACTTTAAAACTGTGTTTTGTTTTGATTTTATAAAGCCACTTTTAGAAATAGAACTCAAACATAGAAAAAGGATTACCCTTTTAAGTACCACATTTCTACCTTGAAAAATGTAATTACTGTGAAAGTAAGGTTGTGAAGTATATCTATTAGTACCACAAAAATAAACTTGTAACATGAGATTTTCAAAGAATGCATTCATTTAGGAGAAATTCACATAAGCTAAGTACAACAAAAATAATGTTGATGTTCAACATGACAAAAACTAAATGGCACATGTCTTTGTAGCATAAACTTATCTATACAATTATAAACATTTTTCTGACATGATATTAGTCACACATGTTGATATAAACTGAAGTTGTAAAGCCCCCTACTAATCACACTGAGAAACTTCATGCAAAATTTGTTAACAGATGTGACTTGTTGGCTTCAGAAAAGAGGAATTACATTTAACAACATGTTATAACAAAGAAGAACACTACGAAGTTGCAAATAAAATCTTATAACCTGTGGGAAATGAAAATGTGGTTGTGGGTATCATTATTTCCCCTACATATTAGTAAGAAACAACCTTTGTAGTATGTTGTAGTAACAAAATAAAAATCGCCTATCTTCTGTAGATTATAATCATGGGTATTCCAGTGAATAGAAACAAAGAAAAATCAGAGAGAGAGATAAAAAATGGTAGATACTACACCATCTGTACTGATACACACACCCTGACAAACATATTGCAGTAGCCAGGTTTCTTAATACTTTTAATGGTTGAGGTATAAAAAAACCTCACAATGTATAAATATTTATACTAAAAAATATGCAAGATCACATTCACATTTTACTACAAAACTTATTTACAAGAAACAGTTAATAATTATTTAATTCTCACAATATTTTCCTTTGTAATGTTTGCATTATTCACCTGCTTTAATGCTACTGCCACAGAAGCAATAGCATGATTGTGGGGTCCTCCTTGTAAACTTGGGAACACTGCAAAATCAATTGGATGTTCATAGTCATACATAATGTCTTTGCCCTTCTTATCTTTACCTTTCACTCCTCGTCGATAGAAGATCAAACCTGACCTAACAAGTAAAAGAAAAACATCATTAAATAAGCCACAACATAAAGATAATACACAAAATTAGTCAAGTAATCATTTTTGAAGCTCATTTTCCTGCAGACTTAATGTATAAAAAGATTTCATTAATACTGTAATATTAATATTTTTTAATCTCATTCTACAACAGCTAAATTAAATAACACTCTTATATATTTTAAGTATAATATAGAATATATGCACCATAATAATATTTTTTTTGTTGAATTTCACACAAAGCTACTCTAGGACTACCTGCACTAGCCTTCTTTAATTTTGAAATGATAGACTAAAAGCAAGACAGCTAGTCAATATCACTTACCACCAGCTATAGGGTTATACTTATCAGGCTAAATAGCAGGATTTGATCATCATTTTTATAAAGCACCTATAGCCTTGAAATACAGAGTGCATTTTTTGCTCTTTTATTTTGACAGTAACAGAGCAGGAATCATAAAACCTAACATACACAGTCATATTTTTCATGTATCACAGGGGATTAGGTTATTTTTGTCTGAATTAGGTATGTAGAAGACAATACATAGAGGGTTGAGCCTTTTTTTCTTTACTTCTTTTACTTCAAATATAATAACTGTGAGCTAACATTCCAAAATATGGGATTTTTCCCATCCATTTCAACACCTACTCTCCAACATAACATGTATAGAGTGTTCTTACTCTAATACAGAATGACTGTCCTAGCTACATCTACAATCTTGATCTTACATGTCTAATTTTAGGCCTGCTGATTGTTAAAATTACTACAATTTTCTTACAGGACAAATCATGTGCTCTATAATACCTTTATAGATGCATATCACTTACTCAGTATGTGCCATTAAAGCCTGATTTTAGTAACACTGATGGAAAATTTGATATATATAGATTACTATATTCATACATCTAATAAATTATAATCTTTTAACACTACTTTCAGACAGTGAGAATTTGAATTTTGTTGGCCTCATTACTCTTTATGGATTCTTAACTTTTTCATCAAAAGAAGTCTAGAAATAGATGGTAATTGGGCTATATTTGAACTTTTGCTTGTTCCTTGTAGCTTTAATATGGATTTATATCACCCATTTCCACTAAAAATAACAAAAACGTGCATTACAGTTACGTTAAAGTGGCTTTTTTTTTTCAATGTGAAGCAAGAGACAAATCATAAAACAAAACTATGGAAATATATTGTTGTGAAAAAAATTAATATCTATCCATACTGCATGTTTGATGAATTTAATTATCAAGTAGCAGTATCATCTCTACTAAAACTTATGATGAATAATAATAAACTTCACTTTATCATTTTAAGGGGGGGAAAGTTTGAGATTCCGTTACACACTTTTAGCAACTTAAAACACATTTTGCTTATTATATTTAAAACAGAAGTGTCAAAACCTTCCTCCTTATGGTCAGTCTGAAAACATCTACTTTTCACCATTATTAACAGTAACCATTCACTCTTTCACAAATCAAAACAGCACTTTTAAACTCTCACTGGTCCTTGAACTAGAGAAACATGTAGTCCAACATCTTTCTACATTTTTATTGACATAAATATAAAATAGTCCATAACCATGTACATTGCGTTTCAACATCTGTCCAATCAAAAATTTTATTTTGTTAAACAAAAAACTGATACTTACTTTTCATGCACAACAATAGCAACAGTATGAAAATAACACTTGTGTAGAAATATAGTC